AAACTAAATAGTGTAATTATCATGAATTTGAAGCTGAGTGATTAAACCCACATATAAGATGCTAAAGGTGTAATTTCTAATACCCTCAAAACATAAAATTCTAAGTCCCCTATTTGTTTTTCATATGAAAAGGTTATCATACTTTGCAAACAATAGATAGCATATAATAAGGTAAGGTAAAGAAGTAGATCATCAGTGCTCAACAGACAGTGGATTTTGGGAGTAAGTGGGCAGACCTTTGCTCACCCTACTCTCCAGCAAAGCTCCTTTTAACTTCAGCATGATGCTTTTTAGTATTTTTCCATTGAGATAAGTAAATTAGAATTATCTGGAGTCTGTTGAGAATAATGGCATAAAACAGATGACCCAACAGGTCTGGTCCATCAATGTCTGGATGACTTAATTACTTTCTGGAATGACAAGGGGTAGGTGAGGCAGGAACAACATACATAAGATTAGAATGGCAATGCCAACTACTATACTTTTCAAATTTTTCATAAAACCAAATGATGGCAATCTGTCAAGTAGCACTAAGTGATAGAATATAATTGTATTTTATAATAATAATTTCAGTGGACACCCTGACAATGGAAGCTTTATAGTCATATTTAATTTTGTTACTAGCCTACATTTAGGAATACCGTAGGAAGCAAGTATGCCTCCTAGATGGTAATAGTTACACATTAAATGGGCCTATTTCACACCATAAGAAAACACGATCAAAAATCCCAGTCAAGGCATTTTTGCAAAATGTTACACATCTGCAATTTATCTTCTATATATAAATAGATATTGATATGCTCTCAGATAGCCAGGTCCTATAAAAACGATTTCGTATTGAGTTTATAACTAGTTTAGGTTCTCAGGAAGAAAACAAATAAATAACAATTGTGGCATCAGGAATTTAATTTTCATTGTCCATGAGAGCTTTTTAGATGTTAGGAATAATTTGTGACACCTGAGGGCATGGATGTTGGCCCAACAAGCAACCACTCTTTTGTGGCAGCATAACCTGGGTTTTATTTAGGGAACTACCTCGCCTCCATTTCAGTGGCTCATGTGGGCTTACTTTTCCTTTTAGGACCCAGGCTGACTATGATCTGCCAGGGAGAGTCATCGTGATTAATTGGTTCAGGGAATGGTATGTGATGTGCTCAATCAAACCCCAGAAAAGCTTTCTTTTTATACAAGTTGCTATGCTGGTGAGGTAAGCCTGGACCTCCCCACGACTTATCTGAGAATGATGCCCACACAAGAAAGAAGAGCCAGATGATAGAGACAGTCTGGAGACAAAGTTTGAGCAACTGAATCAAGCAGTTCCTGACATCCAGAATACACCTGGACTCTCAGTTACATGAGCAGATGAACCCGTCTACCCCAATACTCACACACACACACACACACACACACACACACACACACACTTTTTTGTCAAAAGCTAATTTCAGTTAGATTTCTGTCACTTGAAAACAAAAGAGACCCGATTAATAAATAACATAGGCATTATGCAAATGCCACAAACATTATAGAGGTTCAAGTTAACACTTGTTCAGTCTAAATTGCCAAACCCTTCCATCTTCAAAACCCTTTTGCTTCGAGGAGGCTTATTGTATGTACAGATTGTGGAGACAGGAGACTCCAGAATCCAGGGTGCTTGGATAGATGTAGGAGTGCCTCCAGGGGTCACATTTTCCGTGATCCAAATAATCCCGAGTAAAATCCCAGAATATTAAGTTATTGACACAATTTTGGGGCATGCTCTGGGTGAGCTCTCTCTTCCCTCTAAAGGCACTCTCAATATTAGAAATTTGTTTCCGGCCTCTGAAGCCCAGGTAGAAGATCAAAGAAGAGTCTAGAGCAAAGCAGAGAAACAACAATATATGTTGAAATGCAAATAATCAGAGTTTTTTTGCTTTTGCTTTTTTTTACTGCAGAATTCTAGATCATGAATATTAGCATGCATTGTGAGTTTTCAAGAGGGCTACGATAAATGATTATTTGGTAATGAGGCTTTTTCTTTAATCTTAGGTTTCCCAGAAATGCGTTTTTTTGAAATGTCACACTTAATACATTTTGTGATTTCTAGGCATAAAAGCCTGAGTGGTTTTGATTGTTACTCATCAAAGTGGCAAAGGGAAAGGCTGAGTCATGTGGTTCAAGGAGCACAGAATTTGGAGCTGTCAAGATGTAGATTTATGTAGAGATAGTTAGCTCTCTATGATCATGGGCAAACATACCTCTCTAAGTCACAGGTGTAAAATGAGAAAACATTATTGATTTCATTGAGTTGTTTTGAAGCTTAATGCAGACAAAACATATTCTAGTTTGTATCACTCCAACCCTAAGTTAAACAAATGTATGCTTGAAATCCACTCAATCATTTTTAAGCCATGTGACCATGGCAAGTTATTTACCCATCTTTTATCTACCTTTGTAAAATGGGGTAGTATGTTGATTATTTCAAGGGAGCTATTAAATAAAGATTAAGTTTTAAAAAGCATATACAGTAGTTATTACAATTACAGTTCTGACATTAGAACTGCAAAGCCAATTGTTCTTGTAAGTTGAACAATGCCAAACTACCCTTTATAGGTGAAAAAATTATTGAATAGCAGCAATTCATACAGTTCATCATCATATTATGTGAAGTGTCTATTACAGTGTCTGGCAACCATTCATCATTTATCTGATCAACCAACCAACATTTATTTAGTTCTTTTCTTGACCAGGTAGCATGCCAGGCCAGGAATAGAAAGGTGACTAAGACACAATCTATGCCCTCAGTAAACATAAAGCAGATTGAAAAGGCAGGCAATCATAGCTAACTTTCTTACTTACTCCTTTTTGGACACATAAACTGTATATTCATGATCATGAAACAAGGTAATAGAGAGCAATGAGAGAACAACATACAATGTGGCATGGGAGCCTCAAGAAGAAATTCAAGATGTGCCCAATAAATGGTGGCTATTATCTTCAATGTACAATGTACACAGTTGAATACAATGCATGCTTTATCAGTTAACTAATGAAATTAATCAATAAGCTGCTATTAACTACTCTAAGTTGTTTATTGCAAAAAGACGAAGGTATAGCCAACCATAAACACATAAATTTGCAAAAGTTAGTGTACTCCACTGAATATAGAATTCCAATTCTGTTATACGGGTTTGACATCCTTAATCAAAAAATCCAAAATCTGAAATGCTCCAAAATCCAAAACTTTTTGATCACCAACATGATGTCACAAGTGAAAAATTCCACAACTTACCTCATGCAATGAGTTATAGTCAAAACTTAGTTTCATGCACAAAATTATAAAAATATTGAATAGAATTACCATTAGACTATGTGTATTTTGTTTATGAAACATAAATGACTTACATGTTTAGACTTGGGTCTCATTTCTAAGATATCTCATTATATACGTACAAATATTCCAATTCAAAAAAAAAATCTGAAATCTGAAACACTCTGGTCCCAAACAATTTAGATAAGGAATACTCAAAATACATAACAATGATCTCTAATAAAAGAACAGGTGATTTAAAAACACAATGAATTTGGATCATAACAGGGGACCAGCTGTTGCCATGTTTCTCCCATACTATATTGCTACAATGAAGATAAAATATTGTACAACAGATATCTATCCCCAAGAAGTGGTCCTACCTTCCAAGGCATCTTTTGTATTCTGAATGTGGGCATTGGCAAACTGATTCCCTATATTATTTCTTTTCACTTTGATAGATTATATTGGCAAATCCTGGGAAAATCTCACATCTCTTTCAGCTAAGAGCTCCCACCAGCATACCACAGGTATTTCAGGTTAGAAAATTAGTGGGTATGGGACCAGTAATTATAGAAGGAAAAGGAGTATAATCAGATCCTGGTGTGCAGATTGTTTTTTTAGCTTGCAAATTCCCTCTTTCCTGTGTTTCAACTTTCAAAGGCTTATGGTAGTTTAGAGGCAATCCTCTTATAAGTGTACAAATTGTAATCATTATAGGAACAAGTTGTAATTGTTTCTAGCAAGTTTTTAAGAGTCTTTGATGTTATGATTAGTGTTTTATATGTTAATATATTGATAGGGGTGCTTATTTGCTTGTTCCCTTGTATGCTTTTACAGTTTCTAGGTTCAATGTGCAAATACATCTTTGATCTCTGTAGGTCTATTTGGTTTAAAAAGAAAGCCAAGAGAAATTAAACATGAGAAGCACAGGTTTTGCAATATTTATGAAGAAGTGAGATTAGGGATTTTACTGTAAGAGTACAGAGCTAGGCCCAAGACTTGAATGTGTAAAATACCGCCCTAAACCTACACCACACATGAGGAAGGTCCTGTGCTATGGAGAGTCAGCCCATGATGTGCCATCATGGAGCTGTGGCTCCTTTGTAGCCAGGGCGTAGCTACATGATGCAGTCTGGGTTGATGTCACACTGAGCAAATCAAAGGCAATGTCCTGCAAGTCATCAGCTTCCTCTTTAGTGTCTGCCTTCTGCCCTTCAGAAATCAACATGAGGAAGAATTCTATCTTTGCAAAGGTTTCATTTCCAGCTATCCTCTCATCATTCATGACTCCGGGAAACTGTCTGGAATATAGAGCCTCTTAGACTGTGCACCTTGACGCAAATTGCTAAATTTCAGAAGGATTTTACTTTTCGATAGATGTCTAAAAGAAGAATTTGGGGTTTCATCAACCCTGGCTATCAATGATATTAACAGCAAGAAAAGATACTAGTCAAGACACTCAGATACAGGGTTAGGTAAATGTGCAAAGCACTAAGTAATTAGTGGTATGACACTTTTTGTTTAATGTTATACAGAAAAAAAAGAACAGGTGGCTTTACTGAAAGCACATGTTAGAGGAACTCAGTTGGGAAAAAGGAAGAGAGGATCAAATTATACTTTCTACTTCCATTCCTGCTCTTCTGGTGCTGTTTTGCCCTGCTCCGGTTTTAATACTTCCAAAGAGAGAGAGAAATGATCTTGCATTTACCTTTGCTGTACACAATGCAGTTGTTTTTGTTGTCTTCCACTCCTTGCCAAGTCACATCCAGCAACCACTTGGGACCAGCAGTCAGCACCATTGGGACCTGAGCCTTTGTCTTCTGTAGAAAGAATGATAACAAACAGATGCCATTTGCTTTTGTTGATTAAAAACTTGAATAATAACTGTACTAATCATTTTATTTTTACAAACAACTAAATCTCCCAAACCATAATCCAAGTTCTTATTCCCCTGTCTCATGATATCTTTTTAAGACGACAGAAGCTGTAAAGCTTTACTGCTTTCACTAATCTGAATGGTAGAAATATTATCAAGTTTTTTTTTCCTAAATGATACTGGATCAGATCTCCAAGATTAGACAGATCTCTTGTGGCTCTGAATTATAAAGAGAATGCAGATGACTTTCATTGCAAAGAGCAGAGTGTTTAGAAGTGAACTTTAGACACATTGTACTTTACTATCAACAGGATCTCACTATTTCCTGAAACAGACAGGAAAGAATTTAAAGAATCAGGATCCATTTCAAAGCTCTGTCCTGAGCAACATTTATGTTAGAGTAAGAACTTATTCTGAATGAATAATGAAATCTACCCAACCCCCTATGTGTGGATATGTTCTCTCACTGTAACTGAAATAATAATGATGCTAATGATGCACCTACATTGTCTCCAGAAAGACTGTAAAAGAGGAATCGTGAATAAATTCAAATGCAGAGCAACTAAAGCATGACATCCTTTGCTCTGAGAACCACAGAAGCACAGAGACAAGGGCTATAATTCCAACAAAGTATTTTCAGTATACATGTTAAATATAAGGCTCAAAATATTCATAATTTTTGGCTGTCTGGCATCCAAATTATCTATCTGTAAAACTCTGTTGATAAATTTACACGGCTGGAAATAAACTGGGGAGGAAATAAGTATGTCTCAGCAAGACTGTGTTTCCTGATGAGTCACAGAAAACTGGCATTCACTTTTATCATTCTCCAGTCCATGTTCTGTATATCAAATATCATGAAACCACAACACAGAGTACAATACAAGGGTCTCAAGGTAATTTTTGAACTGAATTTTCACCTAGATATGATCCTGCCAAACAGATCTCAGCCCATTCTGGGACTTTCCCGCATGATTCATGCTATCACAAATTTCCAAAATTGGCATTAACAAGTATTCACTTGAGGAGTTCCACATAATCTGGTGATTTCAAATCTTTAAGGAATCTGCAAAAGCCATTCCACCCGCCTCATGACAACAATGATAGCACATTATATACTGATCCATTGTTAACCGCAAAGCCATACTGAAAATTATGCATAAAAATGAATGTTGACCCATTTCTTAAAATGTCAGTTATATTACAAATGTAAAAACTACCATAAAATATACAGTTTAATCGGGAAATCAACCATGATGGATTTAAAAAGAAGTCTGAAAAAACAAAATACTTCAAATATTAAAACAAGAGTATAAAGTATAATGAAATCAAGCATAACACACTCTAGCACATTGATCTTTAATATTTATATTTGGATTCATCACGGAGTCTTAATTTTTCAACTGTGTATCATAATAGTTGGCAAAGATAACCACAAAGCAGTTATCTAAAAGCCTTGTGAAAAAGATGTGATTTATATTCTATACATATTTTAACAATATAGACAAAATGTTATCAAGTTATCCCTATTGTTATCAGTCTGATGAACCATTATTATTTCTACTTTCAAAATAGAATTAGAGAAACAAACTTGTTCTATATGAAAGGATAGTGATCCAAATCCAATTAAACATTAGGTCTTAATGAGGCATATTTTGCTCTCCTTTTACTACCAGACTGACAGATAAATCCATGGTGGCCACACATGGTGGCTCACTCCTATAATTTCAGCACTTTTGGAGGCTAAAATTAGTGAACCACTTGAGGTCAGGAGTTTGAGACCAGACTGGTCACCATGGTGAAATCCCATCTCTACTAAAAATACACAAATTAGCCAGGTGTGATGGTGCATGTCTGTAATCCCAGCTACTTGGGAGGCTGAGGAAGGAGAACTGCTTGATCCCAGGAGGTAGACGTTGCTGTGAGCCGAGGTCACACCACTGTACTCCAGCCTGGGCAACAGAGCGAGACGCTTTCTCAAACAAAACAAAAGAGAAAAAAACCCAAAGGATCTGCAGCTCTCCAAGTACAGGCAGAACAAGTCGGAGGAGGGAGTCCACCAATCCAGGAAACTCATGCAGCCGGCAGTCAGCGACGTTATTTGTAACATTCACTCTTTTCTGACTTTAAATAATAGATATCAAAACAGGCCCCTGGCCTATTTTTCCTGTATTATCTTATTTCATGAAAAATAATTATTTTAAATTATTTAATCACCCTGTTTTATAGTTCATAAAATCCTATGAATTTCTACACAGCAAATTAGCTTGTATAATAATTTCATAGATAATATTAAAAATAGATAGTGATCACGTTCATTCTTTAAAGAATCTTTTAATATAAAGTAAATCAATCGATTTGCCAGAACCATAATCTTCCGTTCATTTCACAAATAAGCAAACTCAATCCTGTGTTTTGTGCTTGGAATAGAAGTCTTTTTTTGGTGAAGGATACAGATACATTAAAAATATTTAATATAATGTGTAAAGTACAGGGTAGGAAGTGCTAAGACATATGTAAATTGTTTTGGGGTCAATGAGGGAAAGAGAAAAACTCCTGTCCTTTGGAATCTGGGGACAGACACATCATAGCAGAGACAACATTCGGGCAGGATTTTAAAGCATAAACAGGAAGAATATGCAGATGCTGGAAATAGTGTGGGCAAAGGCTGAACAGTCTATAAGAAAGTCAAGTGTGCAGGATATGGGAGTTCTGGGACTCCGGTTAATGTTCCTGTAAAGTCTTTCACACTTTTTGTTATGTAGAAAGCACTAGAAAAGTATTATCGATCATAATTATAATTAATATTGTAATTGATAAATGGAAAGAACATAATAGAATATGTATCTGGCAGGGCAGGTTATAAACAGATTTGGAAATATGTGACCTATTAGGTAAAACTTTTCGTGCTTAATTCTGTTAGCAGAAGGAAGCCAATAAACATATTTTAGAGAGACAGAATAAGGGTACTACTATTTATGCTACTTGTGCAAAGATTTTGTTAGGCGATTCCCTTACTTACCTAGTCCTCATATATATTTTCAGACAAGAAAATGGCAACTGTAACCTTAGGACAAATTGCTGGTAGATGGCAGAAGGCAGAGCCAATATTTAGATTTAGCTTTGTTTCCAAATATTATCACCCCTAGGGTAAAAAACCATCCTGGTTTTTCTGGAACTGAAAGGTTTCCCAGGAGGCTGTACTTTCAGTGCTAAAACGGAAAAGTCTTGGGAAATTTAGGATGAGTTTTTCACACACCCCCACCACTACTACGACTAAGAATACTAAAACAGTATTAGTGGTTTACATGCTGTCTATTGAGGTAAGCATTTCACTCAAATGATGTTTTTTGATTTGTACAACTCCAGAAGTTAGGTACTGACATTTTCTCCATTTTCTACATAAGCAGACTAAGGCCTATTAGAGCTGATGCTGTGCATAAAACAAAAGTAATCAATTAATACATTTCCTAATAGTAAGTTCGGCATTATATCTTTTAAAACTCCGGCAAATATTTATTATGCCTGGGCACAAGGAGAATTGGACTTATTAAAAAATTGAGGTGAAGAGAACAATTTCCTTTACTCGAAATCAATAAGGCAAAAGAAAAAATGGAGCAAAGACTTGCTGAAAGCTATACCCAAGCTGTAAAGTAAATAATAAGTAGATAAAAAATCTCAAGGGACCAGTTATTACAAGTTTGAGGAGGTAAGTCAATTTCTTTCTGAAAAAGTCAACTTTTGTAGAGATTGACTGCCTTCAAAGAAGATTACCAAGTGTGAGAAGGAAGGAATTAGCCAGGATTATATGAAATCTACACTCCAGAAAAACCCATGAATAGAAAATAACAATAATATCCACATTGATCATTAGGTTCACTTTCCATGTCTCCAACATAAGAATTAATAAAATTGAGAAGAGTAAGAGCTGGAAGCTACCTTAAAGTTTGTTGAGTTTAATTCCCAGATATCACAAACAAGGAAAGTCAGGCCAAAACTTTTATTGCATACTCTACAGTGGGTAAAACTGGCACAACATTTTGGGGAAAGAGAACAGAAATAAAAGGTATAGTAGGCAGGAAAATGGTCCCCTAAAGATGGCTATGCTCTAATCCCCTGTAACCTGTGAATATGCTACCTTAGTTGGCAAAAGGGATTTCAGAGATGTGATTAAGTTTTTGTACCATGAGATGGTGAGATTATCCTAGATTATCCAGATGGTCCCAGTCTAATCACATAAGCCCTAACAAGGAGAAGTGAAAGGCAAGAGTAAATCAAAAAGATTCAACATGAAAAAAATTCCACCTGCTTTTGTTACCTTTAAAGATGGGGGACTAAGAGCAGAAACTAAAGAATGTAGTGGTGTCTAAAAACTGGGAATGGCCTCCAGTTTATAGAAAGCAAGAAACGGGAACTTCAGCTCTACAACTTCAAGGTACCAAATGTTGCCAACTATCTGAATGAATGAGCACAAAATGGATTCCCTCCTAGAACCTTCAGAAAGGAATGCATCAGGAAGACTGACATGTTGATTTTAGTCTGGTGACATCTGTATTCATATTTCTGATCTACAGAATATGAGATAATAAATTTTTGCTATTTTAAGCCACCAAATCTATGGTAGTGTATTTCGGCAGCAATAGAAAGCTAATACAAAAGATACTCTGATTGATTGATTAGAGTAGAACAAAAGTAACTAAAGTTTCTTATCAAAGATGCTCAGAAGTGTGAAACAGCTTTCCCTTAGTTGAAATAACACCAAATATACCTTGTCATTCCACAATTATTGATCATTTATTTATAAGTTATTATGAAGCAGAATATTTCCCTGACCCCTTCATGGGAGTCACAACAGGGGTGCCTCGATTACTCAGCCTGCTGCTCTCAACTCCTTGCGGGAGGGAGTGCACGAGCGAACAAGTATGGGAGCTGGAGTGAACAGCA